AGCTGTTATCTGTCACATTTTACAACCTACAGTTAAGCTTTCCCTATCCAACAAGTCTAAATCTTTCCAGCCACGTAAATGGATTTCCATCCATTCTTTATACGTTTCATTTCTCTTTTCAATGTCAAGAGATTAAGTCAAAAAACATGAGCATACAAGTTATTCTAGTTAAAAAAAATTTAAAGCTATAACTTGCCACAATTTTCAACCTCCTTTAAGGCTCTTTAACACTAATTCAGGTAGGAGAAACATGAAAATTATTTTTAGAGATCTATATTACAGAAGTAGAATTAATAGATAATTAACAGTAATCAAACAACAAGGGCAAGAAAAGGATTCCCTACAAGACCCTCCAAACTAGCAACAGGAGACCCAATAAAAGCCTAAGGCAATTTAACCCACTGAAAGTTATCCAAAAAGATATTATCACTTTCCTTTCACAATCTATTTGGAAACTGGATGTAAAAGTGTATTAAGTCACAAGCAAATAGGCAGGGAAACTGAAATATCTTTAGACAGAAGAGACATTCTATCACTCTGTTTCAGACAGTAAATACAGTAAATTGTATCTGGTGGCAAGACTTTTCAACTGGGCTTCCCAACACAGAGAAGAATCGTTGAAAAATATATTACAACCACAACCATAACCTAAGCAGCTACAAGTAAAACACTTTTGAAAATACAAAGTCATTAATATTACATCTTTCCAATAATATTCTGTGCCTAATGAAATGGCTTTGATTAGTGACATCAGACCATTTTATTTCAAACTAATAGGTAACTGCCTCAAAGAGCTTTCCAGGAAATGCAGATATCTGGGCTTTTTTTGTCATGAGAAAAATTGGTGAGTAAGTTGATAAACTATTACACAAGGGCTTCTCATCACAAACAAAATTTTCTACTATGCATTAAACAGTATGTGGATTTATTTTCCTATACACTTAAATGACTGGCATCTATGAGAAAAATGTTAAAAATAACATTTTTAAATAGTCTAAGGCTGTTTAAAGGTTTGGCCTCATTACTCAAAAAACAAGTTGTAAAATCCAATACAAGCCTATAAAAGATTGAATTTGGGTATATAAAATAAAGATATCTCTACTAATCAGAGACTAAACATTTAAATCAAAAGGTTCTATTTAACCACAACAGTTTCCAAGGAGTCCTTACTATATACGCCAGGCCCAGTTCTAAGAGCTTTACTTACATTATCTCACTCAACCCCTCACAACAGACTTCCACTTTACAGATGAGTAAATTAAGCAGAGAGAACTTTTCAAGTCTGGGCAGAACAAGGATTCAAACCCAGATGCTCTGATTGGTTTACAGCACTTTTTTCAAAAACTATGTCCATTTGTTTTCGCTGACAGTATTAATTAAACATCTAGGATAAAGCAAATAAAGATAAAAGTCAAAAAAACTCAGGGATTTCTGGGATGAGTTATGCATTCAATCTTTACATGTCCCTCCTTTTCAAAACTGAGAACTCTCTTCAGACATCCAATACCAAGCAGGACATAATTCTCTGGGACAAAATATCATACAGAAGCTACAAAACAGCAAACCACCACACAATCTTATAAACCAATACTAGGCAAACCATAGTCTGCGGCCCAAATTCAGCCCTCAGCCTGTTTTCATACAGGCCTCAAGCTAAGGATGATTTTTACATTTTTTAGAGTTATAAAAACAAGGAACATGCAGGAACAAAACCTAAAATATTTACTATCTGGCCCTTTACAGAAGAAGTTTATAGACTCCTGATCCAAGCTACTGAATAGATAAAGGAGCTTTCACCACCCACTCCCACCAAAAAAATAGCTAAATGCAGAAACTGACTTGGAAGACAAGCTGCCTCTAGGAAGATAAAATGAGTGGATTCCCTTAGTTCCAAACCAGAAGACAAAACCTCTGAAGCACACCCCCCAAAAAAGGGCAAAAAGAAGTAGTTGCCCTCTCACCAGGAGGTGGCAGTAGATTCTTCAAGAGGCAAGGTTCTGATTTGCCCACAGGCTCACGCTTTTCGTCGCAGCTACTAAGAAAGGCAGTGTGACCTCTCCAGAGCTCACTTTCTGGACGTGACAATCTACACAAAAAGGAAATGGGAAAAGAGACTGAACAGGCAACAAGAACCAACCACATACTCTGTAGGGACCTGTTCACTCCCACTAGAAAAATGATGCCATTTCCTAAATGCATCTGGGCTAAGAGTTAAGGGGTAGGGAAGAAAGCAGGTGAAAATGATCAACTTTTAATCATTCAGTGCTGTTCTTCACATTCGCTTAAGTTACCACCCTTCAGTTAGTTAACTGACAATGAATTTTTCTCTCCACAACTTCAAGCAAGATGTCATTTTAAAGCTCAGAAGTTCAAAGGAAAAAATGTAAACTTCAGATATACCTCAGCAGAGCTAAACCAGAAGTCAAAACAGGAAATTGCAAGTCAGTGGAACACATGTGAAAGTCACAGGTACTATGTGACTACACAAGCCAGTTATCCTGACAAGCAATGGCAAAGATCCACTAACCGAGCCAGATCTCTCATTCTTCTTTCAGCCCTCAACTGCACAACCGAAAAACTTTGTTTTTGCCCAGAAACCAGCGGACATTTAATAAAATACATTAGTATAAAACATGCCATGTCATGAAGCTCCATGCTATTCATGATGACTCAGCAGCTGCTGCTAAACACAGAGGTGACAGCCTAGGATAGCTGACAGCAAGCAGATAGTCTACAAGTTCACCAAAGTTTTGGTAAGGACTAAAGAACATCCTTATTTTAATATTTTAAAAAAATCCTCAAATTAAATATTCTTTTGTATATGCCTGGATACTTTTCTTGGTAGTAACTGTCAACACTAATTGTTGTTGTTCAGTGGCAAGTCGCGTCCAACTCTGCGACCCCATGGACTGCAGCACGCCAGGCTCCCCTGTCCTTCACTACCTCCTGCAGTTTGCTCAAACTCAAGTCCATTGAGTCAGTGAGTCATGCTATCCAACCGTATTAGCCAATACTAATAATACTTGCAGAGTTGATTAAGAAACTCCCAAACATATTTAATCCCAATTCAAAAGCTACAAATGTACTTTTTCAATTAAATGGCTGTGGCAAAAAGCTGAATACTTTAGACAGGGGGAAATGATAAACTACCAAACTTTAAAATAAAACTGCACAGTCTGAAATCAAATTGTCAAATCAAAACCAAATTGTCTCTAAGACAGTTTGGATCACAACTGTTATGCTGTTAAGGCATCATCTCCGTCAAATTAGGTTTTTATCCAAGTATATTTAAAAATAAGGTGTGACTTTGGCTTTTGCCACCTGGAATATACGAGCTCCTTTCTAGACTCCATCCAGACCATCCAGTGATCTGTATTTATATTTCATTTTTTATGTAGTAACTTTCTCCTAAGGAAAGCACTCAGACAATTTATTTTTCAGAAAAACCAGAAAGCACATGTGTCAAACTTCCTCACAACAAAAGGATTAGGTTAAAGGGCCAGGCTTGTGACCTGAATTCTAATCTTGCTACTCACAAAGAAAATTTGAAAACCAAGTCTATCTGGGGGAACACTGGTGGGAGGTGATAGTAAGGAGAAGACTTGTAACCATTAGTAGAGAGCTACCTAATATTATAAACTACAAATTTCACTATTAAGAAACTTATCCCAAATCTTTACTTTTAAAATTCTGTTTTTAATGATACAATTTAACAACAGCACCAAACATGTTTAAGTGTTAACTATTTATCATCATCCGGAATAAAGCAATCTAGAAGTCTACCTTTAACAGTATGCAAGAAGTTATGAGACCCTTTTGCTATACTCGTTTGTATAGGTTTAAGGCCCACACTTACTTTCTACCTTAGTATCAGTGAAAAGTTTTATAAGTGACTTTTATTAGAAGGTTTTCAACATTTTCCCACTCAATCCCCCGTAACAAACAAGCAAAACTTAAAATACTGAACTTTCTCAGAATCAAACGTCTGAGGATAAACTCATTTTTTTATAATTTCAAACACCCACGAGTGCACAAGGCAGTTAAATTTCAAGACTACCAACATCCCTGTAGTGTCGAAAGTACCTAAACTTCTAGAATACCCACTGCAATATTAAAATATTTTGTGCATGAGATCAGAATTGGAGTCCCGGTCAGCTGTGCATAATGGCCAATTCTAGTCTAGAAAATAAAACGCGCGGGTGGGGGGGGGGGAGAAAGGTTGGACAAAAGTGGGGAAGGAAGAGCCTCGCGACGGAAAAAAAAGACGTCAGTCCGGAGAGGGACTTTCAAAATGCCCCAGTGCCACTAACCATAACCCGGTTGAAGAAGAAAATAAAAAAATAAGCCAGGGCTCTTAGAGCGGGGAGGGCCACGGGGAGATGGAGAATGTAAAGGATGGAGAATAAGTTATTCCACTTTCCCTGTAACAGCGCCCCCGCCAATCCCCAGGTAGGTACCCCGGCGGGGTGAGGATCAGAGCCCCTGGGGCAGCCCCCCTCCCCGCACGCGCTGAAACGCGGGAGACTAGAAATCTGCAAGCGTGGGGGGAGGGGGGGCTCCCAGCCACAGCTTTTTCCCTTTTCCCTTAAGGGACATGAGTAATTACCCCCCCTTCTCCAAGCTCCTAATCCCCGCCAAAAAAAAAAAAAGGACAGAATTCTGGGCCCACCATGGGCCTCGCACTCGTGTTCCCGCCCTGCGCCCCGGCCCGGGGAAAGCCCCGGGGCAGGGAGGGCCGGGGTGCGGGGCGGGGGTGGAGCGAGGCGGCCGAGCCACACGTGTGCGCCGCAGGGCTGGCCGGCCTCAAGCCCACTTCCCGTCGCCGCCCCGGCGGCCTCGGCTCCCGCCGCCTCGCCCGGGGCCTCCCGGACGCTCCACGTGGGGCGCCAGGGCCGACCCCCCATGCCCACCCCGTCGCCGCCCGCCCAGTTCCCCTCCCCCGCACCGCCCCGTGGGCCCGGGAAGGGCCCCTCTCACACACGGCGCCGGTGCTACCTTACCTGGTGCTGCGGTCGCCCCTGCTGGTAAGGCTTCATCGGGCCCTGGTGGCAACGCCGCGTCCGGATCTTGCCGCCGCCGCCGCCGCCCCCTCCTCTGCCTCCGGCTCCCGAGGCCATGGCGGAGCCTCCGCGGCTTCCCCCTCCGGGGCGGGAGAGGCAGAGGCGGCCTCAGAGGACCCCCGCCCCCCGCCTCGCCTCGCCCGGCCCCAGCCCCCAAGAGTCCGCCCGCGCTGCCCTCACAGCGGGGGCCCAGGCCCACCGGGAACCGCGGGGCGGCGAGCAGGAGCGGAGAAGAGAATGCGCGCCGGCGGCAGCGAGGTGGAGGGGGGGCGGGGGGAGACGGCCACAGAGGCCGAGGAGCTGGCTCTCCGGTCCCGCAGGCTCCCGCGGACCCCCGCCTCTGTGTGTCACCGTCTCTATGGAGATCCCCCCGCAGAGGACAACGCGAGCGGCCCCCGGCGCTGCTCGGGCCTAAGTCGGCCGCCGGCTGATGGGGATTCTTCTTCCGCACGCCCCAGCCGTGTAGCTGCCGCAGTTGAAGCCGCCGGCGCCGCCCGCCTACCCCTCCCCTTTGCGCACAGCGCCCGCCCCGCCGCCGCCACCGCCGCCGCCGTCGTCGCCGTCGTCCCTGCAGTCGCCGCTGTTGCGTCTATTGCCGCTGCTAAGGCCGCCGCTGCGGTCGCGAGCCAGAACGCCGTCACTCGTCAGCGCCCGGCGAGTCTGCGTCATCACGCTGCGACCGGCTGATAGGAGAGGAAGGGAGGAAAGGAAGGAAGGAGGGGCTGCTCGAGCCCGCGCTCTCGGCCGCGCGGGCCGCTGGGAAATGTAGTTCGGGGCGGGGGAGAAGAAGGCGAATTCTAGGAAAGGACGCGGAAGGAGAGAGCCACGGTTTGCCGCAGAGGCACAAAGCCAGGGGGTTCCGTTCCTTTTCCTGTGCTCGGCTATAAACGCAGACTTCGAAAGATACATTTAACACAGAAGCAGTAACCTCCTTCTTACTCTCCTCCTTCCTCGTGGTTGGTAAAGAGGACAGAAAGTGAGCAGGTAGTTAAATCAGACAGGAGCGAACATTATCTTACAAAAAGAAAAAAACTGGTTGAAAAAAACAATGTTCATGATCTTTAAGCCTAAAGCAGAATTAGAAAAACATACAGTGTCATTAATGTTCCATTGTTACATAAGAGCTGTTGTCGAAGAACGCGAATTCTGGTTCCACCACTCTGGTTTGACCTTGGATAAGTCAAAACCTGCCTCCCCCGTATAAAATGGGAACTTTAATATCCACCGTATAGAGCTGTTCTGATCATCCGATTGGAGCACTTAGTATATTTCCTGGTATAGGGGAAATGCAGTAAATGAGTACAATGACAACCTACAGCAGTCAGCTCACATGAGAGGTAAAGGGTATATTAGCGGTAATAAAACTGTACATATATTTGCCCCAAACAGAAGACGTATTTAGGAAAGTGAGTAAGTGAGCTAGGCTCAAGCACTGAACCCACAAAGTATAGATATTTTAAGAGTTGACCGTTAAATAGATCTTGGTGATCAGGTGGTCTAGACCTCATTCAACGGACAAGACAGGGGTCCAGAGAATTCAGGTGGCATATTGGAGGACCCTTAGCTGGGCAGACAAAGCCAAGACTATAACTCAAGTTTTCTGTAAGAGTTCAAACAAAGTAACCAAATGATGAGGAAGAAAATCTACTACTGTGAAAACATAGGCTTAATGGTCCATTTGGCTTCCCTGGTGCCTCACACTGTAAAGGATCTGCCTGCAATGCAGATGACCAGGGTTCAATCCATGGGGTGGGGAAGATCCCCTGGAGAAGGAAATGGCTACCCACTTCAGTATTCTTGCCTGAAGAATTTCATGGACAGGAACTGGGAGGGCTCCAGTCCAAGGGGTCTCCAAGAGCCAGACATGATTGTGCAGCCAGACACACACTTAATTTTAAATCTATCACTTAGTAGCTATGTAGCCTTGGGAAAGTTAGCAGTCTCCTAAGTTTCAGTTTCCTCGTCGGCAAATAGAATGAGTATTAACCTCAACAGGATGGTGGTTCTGATTAAAGGATTTATATATATATATAGTTCATAATAACTGCTTAGAAAGCTGCTAATAGCATCCAGTTATCAGATACAAATAATTAACTGTAAGACTGTTAAACCGTCTCTACCACCAAACTGCATGACTCCAATCACTGTATAAATCATATAAGTCAAAATGTGAAGCGAAACTACAGTACCTTGAAATTTGTAGTACCTTCCAGCACCTAAGGAACTATGCTATATCAAGCATAGGTTTACAGAACAAATGGCATCTCTGACTAAAACCACCAAGACTATAAAAATTTCCCAAATATGATGGACAAAATTAATCTACCTCCTTTTTGCGCTTCAGTGTCTTCCCCCTAAAGCACTTCATCTTTCTTCAATACAATTGTTTGTCTTTTAAGATTCTTAGCTAGGAATGTGACAAGCAGAGTAAAGTAATTCATAATCAGCTAACTTCCAGGAAAGATGTGTTCAGTTCAGTTGCTCAGTCGGGTCCAACTCTTTGCAACCCTATGGACTGCAGCACGCCAGGCCTCCTGTCCATCACCAACTCCTGGAGTTTACTCAAATTCTTGTCCATTGAGTCGGTGATGCCATCCAACCATCTCATCCTCGGTCATCCCCTTCTCCTCCTGCCTTCAATCTTTCCCAGCATCAGGGTCATTTCATATGAGTCAGTTCTTCGCATCAGGTAGCCAAAGTATTGAAGTTTCAGCTTAAACATCAGTCCTTCCAGTGAAAGATACGTAACTGAATCTTTAATTGCACTACACATATAAAAGATTGAATGCAGCCACATCCCATTTACCCTTTTCTTAGCATCCCATTACCTTACCTACCAAACTCAAGATTTCTAGTACAGGAGATTGGCTGGGACTCACCAATCATTCCTTTGTTCGGGGCTTGTTATTTGGTATATGGGACAGCACTTCTGGGTTTTCCCAAATGGTCAAGTGGTAAAGAATCTGCCTGCTAATGCAGGAGACACAAGAGACATGAGTTTGATCCCTCAGTTGGGAAGATCCCCTGGAGTAGGAAATGGCAACTCGCTCCAGTATTCTTGCCTGGAAAATTCCATGGGCAGAGGAACCTGACAGGCTACAGTTCACCAGATCCCAAAGAGTCAGACATGACTGAGCGAACACACACGCATGTGCACACAGCATTCCTATCCCAGCCCTGAAAAGAAAGGACATGCAAAGAATGGGGATAAATTCAGATAAAACTTCAGAATATAAGATTAGCAGGATTTAGGGAGATGAATCCACATTTCTCTTTAGCCTTGATCTCAATTGTTTACCTCATTTTATGATAATTTTTTGAAGTTAAGCAAATGTGAGGGGACAATAATGCATTAGTCCCAGATTCAGGTAACTGAGTTATTGGCAACTTTTCCAAGCTTGAGAAGGAATAAGAAACAAAAGAAATCTGCATTTTAAACATCCCACTGCCTGATTTTACCCTGAAATAGTATCAGCCTCAACTATGGGATGAAATAATTTCTTACATGTAATTTGAGATTCACTAACATTGTTTCTGTGCTGAAATTCAGTTTGGAGTCACAAATCAACAAATCTAGAATTCTTCACATATTTTTGGTACCGAACTCATTGTTCAGTTAGGAATTACTAGAAGTAGAATGAGTTATAACAAATTATTCTGATTATGAAACAAAAAACTGCCCACCTTCAAACATACAAATAATTACTGAACATTTCTCTAAGAGATACTATATATGTAAATTGGGGAAAATATCAAATGTCATGGACTAATAATAGGGATTCCTGATTTCCTTCTAGCTTATTAGGCGTTAAGCTTAGGGGGAAGGGAATAATTATTATTTCATATTTTCAGTTAACAATTTCTAGAAATGATAAAATTTAATCTCTATAAAACCTATGATATTCTGTAGTTCACAGAATTGGAAGCTATCACTTGTAGATTTTCTGTTTTAAAGTAGCTATCTTCTTTAATCATCCTTTATTCATAACTTATATTCTCATTAGTCTTTTGGGCTAGACAAAACTGAAATGGCTCTGAGAAGTGATCTTATGTTTTGGGTTGTTTCACTGGGAGTATTTTAATAGAAACTAATTTCTCCCCTACTAGGTTTTAGACTTCAGGTTTTTTTTTCCTCACTGCTATAATCTGAACACATAGAACAGTGTTGACATATACCAGCAACTCTACATATACTATGGCTCATTTGCCCAAAACCCGATTACGAGCAGTACCAACTGTTTCCATCTTATTATAATAAATACAATGATGAATACAGCTAAACTACTTTCTATAACCTTCCCTAGCTTGCATACATTATTTTTCAGTACACCATAACACATTAATATTTCTCAAAATCATTCATTTCCTCATGATAAAGCATTCACGAACATTATGAAATCCCTATGAAAAAGCTATGCAGGAATTATTATCCTTTTACCTTTGCCAGCACTCTGTCATTTTTGCAGCCAATTTTTGTAGCCAATTTAGGAAACTACCTGCTACTTAAGTTTGGGGGTTTTTTTTAAAGATTTTTTTTTTCCGGTTCAGTGGAGAATTCCACACTTTAGAAATTTCTATCTCTGATGGCCTTCACATTGACTAAAATGTTTAGCTCCTAGTACTGTCTTATTGCATAATGAGAATAGATATTTCCCAAGTGTATGATATGATAGCCACTGGAAAGACAAAACTCAAACAGCTGGTTTAGGATCGTCTGGAAATTACAGGATTCCCATCACGGCATGGGGATATGAGGATATACTGAAGGAAGGGAGTGAAGAGTACATCAACAGGGGCATTTGACTCGATAGGGCATTGTACAACAGACCTCCAAATCACAAAGAGAAGCCACGTAAGGAATATCAGTAGAATTCAATGTGTTTGTTTCTATGAAGGATAAAGGGGGGGAAAAAGTAACTGCTATTCATATTCAGATCAAGTGGCAGAAACTGAAACAAAACACAGAAGGATAGGAATTCCTTCTCAATTAGTTGAAAACAAAAATTAGAACTTTACTTTTCTTAAATCTGGATCCAGTTTTTTTCAGCTAAAACAGATGGTGTATTGGAAGAAATCTTAATTTATGACAAGCCTATTACTACGAGGGTCCCTCTCCCCCAAGAAAAGTCTTTATTTTTCCTCATAGAATATGGTATCCGTCTGCCAATTATAAATTTGCAAATAGATTGCTGACCTTTCTTTAGAGATAAGAAATATCCACCAATTATAAATGAAATAAAACTTGGTCTACACCCAACAAGGATTTAAAAAAAAACAAACAAAAAAACCCCATCATTTCTACCTTCTTCAAATGGCAAGAAAATTCTAGCCAAAGGAGTATTTAGAAATGAAAATTACAAGAAGTTAGAAAGGTATGTGTTTAGCTTACCTACACAAAATGTGATATTTGCTATGACATGCACTGAAGCAATTTATTTTATTGAGAGTAATTTTAGATCTATTTCTATGATATTACACAGATATTTCTATGTGATAATTATTACCAAGCATTTTATTAGATAGAAAAATAAGGTTAAACTAGTGGGGATTTTTTTCCAAATGTATTATTATGATTATAATGAACTTCAATCTCAGAGAGAGAAACTCGAAAAAGGCGTTGGAATTCTACAAAGGTATTGGAGTTTCTGTTTGTATCTTAGGGACAGAGAGGTCACAGCATCAGGAAG